GCCAGAGATCGGAAGGCGTCTTCCCGGGGGGGTAGTTTATGTTTCCATAAGCCCCAAGAGAGAAGATATAATCAGATATCTTCGCGCCAAGCTGGACCAGGACACAACCCCAGATGCGATGAACACTAGTCTAGAGAAAGACATCCTGGAGAAGATCCCAGATAATATCTCGGAAATGTATGTGTGGTAGGAGCAATGACAGTTCCAAAGCCACCCGCTGACTGATCAATATCTAGATTCCAGTTCGCCTCGCTGAATATCGATGCGATCCTTCAAGAAACCACAATCCATCGGAGACGGAAAATGCTCGGGGCAATGACCAATGGGTCAGGATTGGTAGATGCTCATTGCGCGGCGCTAGGTCGGATAAAGGGTCAGGGTAGGGAGAAGGCTCGGCTCGGCATGGCAGCATTGATGTGGATCTCTCACTCGGAGCGGCCTTTCACTCCCGATGAACTGTGTCGTGCTCTAGCAGTAGAGATGGGATCCCCAAATGTCAATATCGACGATGTTCCTTCAATAGGGACACTGATAGCCTGCTGTCAAGGGCATGCTGTTGTGGACGCGGAGTCTTCAACGGTCCGGTTGACTAACTCTGCTTTAAAAGAGTACCTCCGAACTCAGCCTGAACTTTATGGTACCGCTCACTCGATAATTGCGGAAACCTGCTTAAGTTACCTGAATTCCCGGCGGGTCGAAGAGCTTTCTACCTGGCCCCCCCCTGATCCCCAAAGCACACCCTTCCTCGAATATTGTTCAGTATACTGGGGGATGCACGCCAAAAGGTGCTTTTCCGATCGCGCAAAATTGCTTGCGCTACAGCTGTTTGGCGGCTGCAATAACCATATATCCACTAAATTCTTGTTGGAAGCACAAGAGCAGTACGCATACGATATTGACTTTGATAAAATTTCCCTATTCACGACTCTTCACTGTGCGTCCTTGTTCGGGATCGTTGAGATTGTAGCTGGTTTGGTAGAAGTGGAAGGTTGTGATCTCAACCGAAGAGACTGCGTTGGTAACACACCTCTCGTATGGGCTGCCTGCAATGGGCACGAGGAAGTGGTGGAAATACTTCTACGACGAGACGATGCCGACTGCAACAAACCAGACAAATACGGCAAAACACCCCTCGCTGTTGCGGCCCAGAACGGTCACGAGGGGGTGGTACGATTGTTATTTGGAAGGGACGACGTCCGCCCCAACCTAGCTGATAACAACGGCCGAACCCCACTCCTTGTTGCAGCCTTTAATGGGCACGAGGAAGTGGTGAAAATGATCCTTGCACGGAGCGACGTCAACCCCAACGAACCAGACAAGTACGGAAAAACACCGCTCTGGTATGCTGCACTGAACGGTCGCGAGGAGGTGGCAAAAATACTGCTTGCAAGGGACGACGTCAACCCCAACAACGCTGATCAATGCGGCGGAACACCACTCCACAGTGCTGTTTTTAATGGGCATGTGGGGGTGGTGAAGGCAATACTCGGACGGGACGATGTCAGCCCCGACAAACCGGATAACGACGGCCAAACCCCGCTCCATGATGCAGCCTCGAGTGGGCAGGAGGAGATGGTGAAAATGCTACTTGGGCGGAGTGATGTCAACGCCGGGAAGCAGGACAAATTTGGCCGGACATCACTCTGGAGGGCTTCTGAGCATGGTCATCCGGGAGTGGTGGCGCTGTTACAGCATCTGGTGCCTGCTGCCTCTAGTATCCGCCTCCCACAGAACAGCCAAGGGCCGGGTGGGGATCCCCCAGGTTCCAGGGTCCCGCTACCGATAGACTATGTCCCATTTCTGCAAGAACCGCATCCGCTCGATAGGGATTCTCGTCGCTACCCCCCTCCTCTCATCCTGCCCACATTTCTCCAACTGTTCAAAATACCGACTCGGCGTCTTTCCCTTCCCTCTGAAGTGGGCCTGTTACGGGAGCTGATACTGACTGTTTTCCACCTGGCAGAGGGAGATGGAATGTGACATGTATGCACACGTCCATTCCGGCCGCTCGAACCTCTGTGCCGGTTTCCTTGTGTAGCCGTGTGAGGATTTCGTAGTTTCTGCTTGTATTCTAGGGATATGTGGCCTGTTATTTCTATCGTATTGGGATAAGCAAGTGTGGCTCGAAATTTCTACCATATTGTCCGTTAGCATAATTAACCGGAAATCACGATACAACCGGACGGACATCTCTACGAACAATCAACCTCTCAATAGATGACTGTCAAAATAACAAATAGAATACTTGGAAATAAAATAGATACATAATTAAGGTTAATACTTTGTATACCAGCCATATGCCTCAATAATTGACTCAATTTTGTGTTCCGATAGGGGTATGGGGGGTTCCGAAGTGGCCAGCAAGGTTGCGATGTTGAAGGGTCGAGCATAGCTGCGCATATCAAATGTTCGGTTAATCATGCTAACGTAAAATACTTACTTTTCACGATATCCTCTGGATGCCGATGCTCATTGCACATTTGCCGAGCTGAGACATACTGTGCCTAGACCTAATCTTTCGGCGCTCTTGCCACCACCAACCGGTGTTTAGAAAGTCGTTTCTCTTCTAAGGCTCAGTTGCACGAGCCGCATTGTGAGTTTTAATCCTGGATCGACGAAAACGATGGCAACAGCGGGACAGCGGAGCGGCCAAATGGCCAAACGGCGAAGACGAAACGCCAAGAGTTCACTCACGAAAACGATCGCGCATCTCAGGAGCGGGGAGGTTCTCCTCTTCATCTTCACTCCTCACTAACTGTTATAACTAACCGTTAAGACTGGAGTATATATCAACCACAAAGGCCTCTTGTCCTTCCGTGCGCTACTACACATGTCCAAAGATTGCTCGTATGTTTCCCGTTCTCCCTGCTCTGACTCCCGTGCTAACAAAGGAAAGACAAACTCCCCCTGTCCATAGCCTCCTGACCTCTGACCTTTCGGCTTTCCCGCTTTCCTTCCGGCAGATGCACTGGTTCAGGACTTTCGTGCATTCCTGCAGCCAACATGCTTTCCCGAAAAGCCAAAACCGGCCCGAAGCCAAAACACGCCCGAAAGCCAAAGCGCGCTCCCAAAGCTATTCGGATAAAGAAAGCAAACTACCCTGAGGGCATGCTGAGCAGCACCTCGGGGTTTTCGGGTAAGGACAACAATCTCATACCTTCCCTCGTTTTATTTTTCTTATGTCAATCATTATTTCTTTGATACAATCTAAAAAGAAGCCCAACACCTTGTCTTTCCCTTCTGATCATTATGTGAAGTCATTCTTTTTATCATCACTCTTTGCGATTTTATCTATCTCGACTCATTCGCCACTGTATTTGTTGCTCCTAGTTAGAAGTGAATATACTGGTATCTAGTGGTCTGCCATATATACTTCACACTTGCTCGTCGATCTTCCACACAGCCCCCTTTCCCACATCCATCTCCCCTGAAGCGCAAACGTGGGAGTTGTTTGAATGATATTATGAAAGGAGGGAGTCGGGATGCATGCGAACCTTCTAACTGGTTAGGACGAGTTAGCCCAACAAACCCTTTTGAGCCCGCTCGGAATAGGAATGCAGCCAAAGTTGGGAAAGTAGGCATGAGAGCTAACGAGCAACGTTAGTAAGCTCTATTGTGCTATGGCGCCCACCTGGGATTGCTGCTGGACCCGGTAGAAAACCGTCCTACTGTAGTAGCAGCTAGCTCAAGTCGAGTGAGAAATTGTGATGACCTAGCACAGCAGCCAAGTGGCCGGGGGGAGACATGTTTAGCGTATTCTTCATGGGTTTTACCCACTTTTGTGTTGCTTAGCACGACCATGCTCACAGCTGAGCGCTAGTTTTTATCAGAACCGATTCCCCGTGGGGGTTTGTGACATTTAAAAACGCTGTGGTTGCCCACCAGACTCAGAAGGATCAGACCCCGGAATTTGATAGGGGATTCGTAGCCTAGATGTAGCGCTAAAAAGAAGATCCGCAGCGAGTAATATCACGAGAGCGTTTCGTGCCTGGGATTTAAGTGTTGCATCTATTAGGAACCGCCCTAATAAGGTATTTTCCGTTGCCTTTCCCTGCTAGAAAGCATGGCATTCGATGAGCTCAGGGTCGGAAAATCGCTCTCATTCCGACATCAGTGATTCCTCAGGAAAATACAACTAATTTTGGAAGGCTTCTGGGGTTCGTTGGGTAGCATAGTGCTTGCGCCTCCTCCGTCGGGACCGGGCCTAACCCAACCTAAGGAAAGCCGATCTCAGACCCGACTCGACGGACCTAGCCCCTCCTTTAGAATTGCTTGGCTACTTATCCTTACCTGCGGTAGGTGCGTAGAGAGTTTTTCGGATTTGTGCGGCATCTTACTCTGATCTCTCAGCGGTAATTGAACCGGTTGCAGGGCGTTTAGACATAAACTTAGCCTTCCCCCCCCCCCCTGACCCACCCCGCAGCCTCTTTTCGCACATCCACAAAATTTATTTTCTTCCTTTTTGTGCCATTCCGTTGGGTGCTCGGGTGGGACGTCACGAGACAATATAATCTCCGTATGGTGCGAGGCATCTAAAGGGGGGTAGAGCGGTGTTGATTCCTTGTGTAGTCAGGGTTAGGGTTATCCTTGGATACCGGTATCTGTGTATCATACCTCTTTCTTCAAGGCCAATTCCAACTGTTGGATATTACCTCTCTATTTTCTGCTTTTCTTTTGCATTGGCCAAAGCTCCTCTCCTTTGGCTTGTTTTTTTCCCCACTCTCTTCACTATAATTCCACAAGTAGTAGTACAGGAATATAAAGTTGTTAAATGTGGTTATCGCAATTTAGCTTGAACTATGTATGCAATTATGCTTTCCTCAATGGTTTACTACACAATTCCTCTCTCAATTAGACCCTGTCCTTCTCTCCTTGAATATCAATTATAAAATAATATCAACTATAGAATTATCGATAGGAATTCTAGAATATACTAGAATTTTGCAAATTTAGTTTACCATTGACCAGTTATGATGTAATAATATATTATTTACGAGTGAACTCTCGGGGATGTCGCCGCTCATGCCACTTCGAAGGATTGCTGGATAATCGTCGGGGGGCACAGTTTACGATGTGACTGAATTCTTGCCACAGCATCCCGGTCGGGCTGAGAGTATATGCTAATCTATCCACCCTTCCTCTCTGTACAAAGTTACTGACCAAAAGTAGTAATTCTTTCGTATGCTGGAGCCGACGCTACGGGGGCCTGCGGAAGTTTTCACCCAGCCTCTCTCCTCAAAAACCTGCCGCCCGAGTTCAGGCTCCTGGGCCCCCTATCCCGCTCGGAATTGCCGATCTCGCAGAATCTCGAATTAGAGGTTAAACAACACCCGAAGCTCCCTCTTCAAATCATCATCAATACCTTTGATTTTAAGACCATAGCTGAGCATACAGTTACCCCTAACACATGGGCTTTTTTCTCCTCCGCGGCTACTGATTTACTCTCAATGAAACTGAACAAGAAGGCTTTTTATTAGGTGTTGTTCAGACCGAGAGTTATGCGTGATGTCAAGTCTGCAGATACCAGGACGAGAATTCTGGGCTTCGATGATGGTGTCACATTCTTTATAGCACCGACAGCGATGCAGGGAATGGTTAACCCGGATAGAGAAAAGGCTGTAGCGAAGGGTGCGGGGGAGGAAAACGTTATACATATTGGAAGAACTTAAAATCAGCCACGTTGCATGCGTACTGTGCGCCGTGTGCCCCGTAAGTTGCTAATTGCTATAGGTATCAACCAACTCCTCACATCTAATTGTAGATATTGTTTCTTCTGGCAAGGGTCCCGGGAAACATACCCACTTTTTACGGCTATACGTCAATACCGACCGCCAAAAAACTTCTCAGCTCCTCGCCAATGTGAAAGCCTGTGGTCTTAGAGCTGTCTTTGTAACGGTTGAAACCCACGTTTCTGGGAAGCGGGAAGCAGATAAACGTCTGAAGGTTGACCCCCCGGTAAAGTCCGTAGTCGGCAGTGCCATCTCACAGAATGACAGGAAAGGGGGTGGTATGGGGCGTTTGATGGGGTTGTTTATCGACCAGAGCCTTAATTGGGAGGATATCCCTTGGATAGAAAGTGCAGCCGGAGGCCTCCTTATTGTTTTGAAGGGCGTTCAGACGGCTGCAGATGCGAAGCTAGCCGCTAAATATGGGGTTCAAGGGATTGTCTTGTCAAATCATGGTGGGAGGAACTTGGACACGTATGAGCCCACCCACCATGAAAGCCGGTGATAGGGTCTAATTCATTAGATCGCCACCTGCCCTGTTTACGCTTCTCAAGATTCATAAGATATATCCGGAGGTTTTCAATTCTCTGGAGGTATATCATACATAGACGGAGGAATTCGAAGAGGGACAGATATATTCAAGGCACTGTGTCTTGGTGCTACAGCGGTCGGGGTCGATAGGCCGTACTTGTGCGTGCTCGATTACGGGGCAGAAGGCGCTGCAGATCTTTCCCAGAGTAAGCACTGACTCTGACTATCGGGATAACGCTGATACAAGCCGGGAAAGGTCCTCAAGGACGAACTGGAAACAACAATGAGGATGTGTGGCGTTACAGATCTATCGGAGGTCCACCTACTAAACGCAAGGAAAATTGACGCACTGCTAGAGGATAGGATTGAACATTTGTAGGTGAAGTGGAGGCCAAAGTAAAATATAGGTTACCGGGAGAAAATTTACTGTATAATATACAACACATACTGCCGAGATTCGATTGCGCGGTAGGAATACGGTATCCGAAATGACTGAAACCCACGAATGCTCGAGTATGATATGTAGTGAGCTTGCACGCTAGGATTGATTCCTAGGACTATTTGTGCTAGGGTTGAATTAGTGTGCCTACCAAGGTCCGGCGATCGCCGATAAAGGTTGTGCGAGAATTATACCCGAGTACACCCATCCCGCAAGCTTTCAACTAGGATTAGCCCCCTCATTCAAGCTCCCTTCTTTGGGAAAAGGGAGGCCCCGCTCGCCCCTCAGGAGCATGAGATCAAGGTGACAGCCCTACACTAAGCCGGATGGAAAGGCGGCGCAAAGAAATCCTAGACCGAGTCGCCCAAGTCGAGGCCACGCGGGAACCCCGTCACCCTATTCATGGTATTTCCCGTTATGAAATCATTGGAGGATTCGAACGGGACGTGATTTCTATAAAGCGCAACCCCCCAGGCCAGCGTACCCCCGGGGGCAAAAGGGGCATCAGTTGCCACAACAATCCGCCTTCGTCGATTTCCCTTTTTCTATGGTCTTCATCTATCAATGCTTTCTTCAAGGCGATAGGGAAGTGATGTTACTTTGATTCTTCTTTCTCCGTCCTGGTTCTGGAATTCAGCACAGCGCAACCAGAGGGTTTGGGCACTCTGGCCTAGCCGAGAGTTATCAACATTATTGCCAGGGATTGCTCCCCGCGCCATGGGCTCATGAAACCGACCACGAAAGACGGGATTCCTCACCTCGATCCCTTCAAGAGGTCACACAGTAGCCAATTCTCGAGTATGATATCTTGAAGTCACACTTGCTAAAATCGCGCTTGGAGAGAGCGCAGCTGGAAAATCGTACCCTCATGGAGATATATCATAAGAGTGTGGTTGAGGTTGGCATCTAGTGCCCTAATAGAGCAATCCAGCCTCCCGGTTGAGAAATGTTTATGGAAGTTTTACGAGCCGGAAAGCTTTTTTATGGGACAAATTTTTATGTGCAAAACTGGAGTATCAACCGGAAACTTGGCACTCAAAAAATGCTTTTTCACCCTCAGGGCTGAATTCCTCTGTTCTGGGTCAACGAGCCGAGATGCCAAGGAAGACTGGACTGGAAGTGACTAGCATGTGGCTGGTGTTCCATCGTGGCATGGGTTGTGGGGTAAGCCCGATCTAGCCACTACTGTACTAACCTCGCGCTATCCGACATTGGTCTAGTGCCCACGCAAGGACGTCTAGAACTCTACTCGAGTTGATGGAAGGAGAAAAAACCGACTTCTAGTCCTCCACTGAGGCAAACAAATAGAAAAGCACAATAGACCTTACTGAAGACAACTTCAACGTTCTAGCACGGGATTCAATGACAACTATCCCGAACCAATCCCGGATCTAGACAACTCAGATACCCAGCCATCGCTTCTAAACCTCTATAGGTTCCAGATTTCCATACACCAAAGCCTGTCATGTAGTCCCGGATTACCCACTGTATCAGACAGAGTCATTGGACCTTGGCCGTCTGGGATAGCTAGGTGTTATCATTCCGGTTCCAAGGGTATGCACTGGCTCTCTCGATCCCGCAATGTCTACTGCCCGCAAGGGAGGCACCACAATCCCCCCACATAGCACTAATTTACGGTGGTGAGGGATACTAGCTTCCCGCCTCGGCGTGGTGACCCAAGCCACCCCCGAAATCTGGGGAATCTGCATAATGCTCTGGAGGTAGTTACCTCTGGAACTCTTTGTGATTAAGATCTGCATGTCTAGAGGAGGAAATAGTTGGCATAATTGTCTTGGCGCTAGTGTGGAGGTTTTATACATGTTTTCACGTCATCAACCGCCAAAAGCAGCTGGATTATCGCATACATGACTGCTAAATGGTCGCTCATCTCTTTTGGGTCATGTGTTTCCCCAACCTCCATCTATTCCTTTAAAAAGCACATGTGGCCTCAACTTGGGATCACTGCTCCTTCCCTCTCTCAACCCGCATCCCCATCTGCAGACCTACACCAACACTTCCCAATCTTAACTGCATTTTCTTATAGTAGGTGTCTAGATATATCAAGACTTTTAAATCATTATGGCTATCGGTATCGCTGAGTCTCCCCCATCGATGGGGCAAATGGTTCACACTCTCGCGGAGTTCTCTTTCCTGCCTAGGACTGATTACACCTCATCGGTAACGTCTGGCATCTACACCTCCCGTAGATCTGGCAGGCGGTTGAAACTACCCGACACGTTGTCCATACTCCTGGTGACTGAAAGTCGCGGTGACGCAGCCGCCATCTCGATATACCGAGCAGCACCCGACCGCATCGATATATGGTATTCGAAGCGGCGGCCATGCACCGAGGCCGAGAAGGCCAATGTCATGGACTTTATCCGATCCGCCGTGCAGGCCACTCGCTTGTCAAAACGGGCAACAGAAGACCTCCTCCGCATTGCGCTGGGAATGTGCAAGTGCAAGGTCTTTGCACGCATCCACAAAGCGCGCTGTCTTCTGCTAAACTTGTGCCTAGACGGCAGTTACGGGATCATTCCGGGGACCTCTCCTGCGGACCGTGGTTTCCGGGATGCGGCAAAGAGGGAATTGTGTCGGATCCTCGGGGAAGCTAGATTCCCACCCGAGATATCTCTGGAGGGCTTTCTCACCAGGTGGTTTCAAGAAATAATTCAGGTGATGCGGGGAGGTGCTTCGTTCGAGATTGCAGCGAACGTGGAGTTTTATTTCGAGACGGTGATCAGGTGCCATGGCCTACTCCAGATCCGTGGAATCGCTACGGTGATTGAGGCCTCTCTACTTGAGAGGCTGAGGAAGATAGCGGAGTATTATGCTGCCGTGTGCATTGTCCACAGGGGGGTTCAGGGCCTCACTCCGGCTGGGAAGGCATATCTCGTTCGCAACATCAGAGAGGTATGACTTCCTGAATGCCCTCTCATCCATCCCCCCACCCTGCATCCCGCTTTTCTAACAGATGCAGATACCCCCATCAACCCCGACCACTTACCTGTCCCCCACCGACTCACTCACCTGCCTAAACCACTGGGCCCGCCGCCGTGACCTAGCCCTTTCCTTCCCCTCCTCCACCGCTCTCGTCAATCAAAAACGGGTAGCCGAATGTACCCATCCCGAAGCCACCCTGATCGCCGAAATTATTTCCGTACATAAATCCTCTCCCGCCGTGTTGCGTGAGATCGGCGCTAGCAAAACATCCTGCTGGATATGCCAGGAATTCTCGGCTGTGGCGTGCGGCCTGTATCCGGGTATTTGGATCAGGATGTCGGGGGAAAGCGTGGGGATTGCGGAGTCTTGGAAATTCCCGGTTGATACGCCGGTTGAGCTTGTGCTTCCGCTGACGGGGAAGATAGAGAGGGCCATGGATAAGGTGCTTGAGAGGGCTGGGGGAGTGAATGGAGTGAAGAGGGGGGTTAAGAGGAAGGTTGGGGAATTGGATGGATAGAATGGATGGATGGGTGGGATAATCCTAGGGAATTCTTGATATGGGTTCTTTTTCGTTTGATTTTCTTTTCTTTCTTTTGGTTACTGTTTGTGCCCGGTGGGTTTGCTGGGGCCACTTTGGGGGCTAGATTTTCCTTCTTGTGGACCACTTTGGTGAAAATATGACTTGAGGAATTTCCAAAGCCAGTCTATGATTGGGGTCTTTCTTAAGTTTTCTTTACTCTTTTTTTTAAGGAATCTCTCGGATTATACCAATATATCACTTTTTTTCCCCTTCCCTGCGTTCATTTCTTTTAGGAGAATAGAGGAGAGAGATTGTTGGGATAAAACTTGATCCCTTGGGCCTCGAGTAAAGCTTTTGCTCAGCGGCTTCCTGAGAACTCGCCTGTGTTCTGTGCGAGCGCACTGAATGATGGTATATATTGCCTAATAGAGAACGATAAGTTACGGTATGAGGATATATCGTACAGAACAAGAATAAATTGTGGCCCAGTAGGTCTCTGCATCCACATACCACGGGAACAAGTCTGATAGACAAGAGTACACAACAGTCAAATCTCCCCTGCTCGGATCGTCTACCCCAAGCCGTTCTAATTTCAAATTCGCCTTAAGTAGAGTGGTGGATCCGCAAAGAGAAATATTCAGAAACCCACCAAGGTATTGCAAATCACCGGTACTCCAAGTACTAGTTCTCCCCTATGTATCACATTTAGTGGTCCGGAGACATTTCCGGAGGTGTTGAAAATTTGTAATGCTTAGAAGCAAGTCGATAAGCTAGATGGAATGTTCTAGAGGATATTTTTTCTGATGGGGAGATTCTGGACCGGCATTATGGGACAAGGAATGTGTGCCCACGAGGAGGCATGGGAGAAAGTGATTGGTTAGAAAAGTGGGGTAGAAGGGAGTCTTTGGAATCAGGAAGAACAAAAATGAAAGGGGTATATGTATGACAAAGGAAAGCGGTCTGGAAGGAAGAAGCTATCTTATGGATGTATATAAAGCTGAGGGTTTACCGGAGAAGTGTAGGGTATGAGGTAGTGAAGAACAGAAGTCATCGGAGGGAAAATCAGAATCGAGTTCGGCCGGTCAGAAAGACGAAAGCTTCCAGTGCGCAAAAGATACGATATACGATCTCTACTTTCATTACAAGGGCCTATATGGTAAACTGATCTCTGGTAAAATCTCTTTCCTCCCCTAGGGGAGTGAGCAGCCCCTTATTCTACAGACTCCGGGCCACGCAATCCAGCGAATTAAGCATCCCCCCAACCTAAGCGGACCCAATGACACATCCTTCTCGTCCCTTCTCGTCCCTTCTCCCAACCTCTAACGCAACCTTTCCAGCTACACAGATTCTGTCGGGAGGTTTTGTTCGCCCCCTACAAGGCCCGGTCCCTCGCAAAGCCAAAGTTCTCCCCGACGGTACCTAGCGAATGGAAAGCCCTGGCTAATCCGCAACGACAGCTGGCCCGCCCTGCTTGGCTCCCTATCGATAGAGTCAAAATCTCGCGAGACCTCTATCATACCAAATTATCAGTGGGATATAACCCGTGAGCGGGCCCAGGCGGGCTAATCTCGTACCGTATACCGTATTGAGGAGAGGGTAACCCTTCTCAGGAGCTTTTGTCTCTGGATCCGGAGATACAGGGTTCGAGGAGATGGTGAACCTCCCAAGAGTTAATAACGATCTGATAGCATCTATAGCGGGTATGTTGAGAGTGTATGGCCAACAGCATATGATGTCATGTGCATCAGTTTGAGTGAATGTGTTGAGTGTTGATGGGTGATGATCCTTGGTGTGGTGTGCACCATTGGGGATGAGGGTTGGGACGCCCGAAGGGCTTGAGGTTGGAGTGAGCAGTCCCATGTTGCCCGGTGTCATGTATTTGGCTTGCAGGCTTGCTCCTGAGAACAGCACCGAAGTTCCTTTCTCTACCACTACCACGGTGTGTTTGTTCGTCCACCGATCCCATCTCACAAGGAGGTAGACGTGCCTCTTGATAAACTACCTAAGCCTCAATTCACCCTTGTATCGTGACTTCCGAATCAGTTTGGCTAGTCGCAATATGAAAGGTCGAAATATCGTGTTGTGTAGACGACTTGATACCCTGGGGGTCCAGAGCGTTTCTGCATGTAGCGCGTACTAGTTTGATCGCCCCGGGTGTTTCACAGGGCGCAACAGGGCTCAATCTCTCACCTCCAGGGCAGCGGGTTGCGTGCCTGGGGTGTACGCCCTGTGTAGCGGAGATATTCATTACTAGAGTTCTCGGGTATGCTTGGATGGTTCATGGCGGGCGTGCTTTGCTGTGCATGCGAATTTTAGAGCCTTGAGGAAAAAAGAAAGAAAGAATTTCTCCGTAATGGTGGGGTTGAGCTCTGGCGGTCCTTATCAAGGTTCACTCAAATATCGGTGAAGGGTATCTTAGTCAACTTCGTTGTGGTAAATAGTCAGCGTTGAGATAGGATATAGGGCTGTATCCCTCGTCACCATCTAATCCCAAAGAGGCTAATGGGTAATTAATAACACATGAATCCCTCCCTGTCTTATTTCTGCACCGTATGTACCTATAGCATTGGATGGTTGCCGGCGCGGGTAACGCTCCCGGATGGGAATTCACTTCAAGTTAGTAGTCATGATATCAAAGATTTGGTGGGGGGCCGGTGGCATCTTGGTGCCCCGTGTGGCGGTGATAGGGATAGAATTCCCCGACAGGGTCACTTGAGAAATCCCATTTAACGTCATTGGTGTACTCCCCCTAGTCCGAGCGGTTCTCAGATCTGCTCGATTGGTATAACTTAGCAGGGTATCGGCTACGTTGTGTTGCAAGAAACTGGTGGTTCTCCCTCGGGGGTCAGCACGGCTACCTTAGCCTGAGTGGGGGGGGGGGGGTGTCTGAAGTTGGTCTTTGGAGACGAACGTATCTCACTTACCAGCTTGTGGGAATATTCCATATATGCCTCTCACCACCGTGGGGCATAGTTGGATGTGAGCGTTGGCTAGGATATTAGGGAGGTTGACCTCGTGGATGCAGAATGGATTCAACTACCAGTATGATAGTAAGCTTATATGTTGACAAGGGGCAACCGGCCTCTGGCCGGATGTGGGTTTAGATAAGGTTGTTGTAGCTAAGAGAGTAGTGTCAGCTTTAAGGTTGTAATATATATATATATTTCTAGTAATAATAGACAAAAGTAAGATACATATCAAATCGTAGACAAACTGCTATACCAACATTCACTCTCCATTACATATCCTGCTCCCGTTCCTCCTCTCCAATTTCTAGTCCTTTTTCCAAATCCTTCTCATCTATCTTTTCCTCTATATACCTCTTCCATATGGTTGGAAGCCTGTGAAGAGAAACTATACTAAGACTAGCTTGTCCCCTACTCTGGGTACTGGAGCTAGTACTATCTAGCTTGGCCAAAATTGTGCCATGAAACATTTTCGTCTGCCATGCCACCATTGCATTTTTTGCTCCTTGAATTCTAACTCCGTAACCAGCAATAAAGAGGTTTCCCCCTCATCCTCCCTTAGACTCCTCACTGCCGACACAGGGATAGACTACGGGTGTAGCTGCAAGTAGGTTTCGGGGTTTTGTGGTTATGTTTTGCGGGTTCCTAACCCACACAAACTCCTGTTAGGGAAGAGGCTTGGTATTATATCATAGGTGGGGAATTTGCATCTGGAGTCATGGTCTTGTCTTCCACTGTGGGAGAGGGAGAACAAGGGCAAGAACAACACACCTGTACAAGAAATAACACAGCCTTTTGTTTCTGTCGGGCTCTGTTTTTCCTCTTTCCCACCCATCTTTTCCATTGTGTTTTACCGTCAACTTTCTCAGCATATTTTCAGCCCCTTATCCGATATAACATCAAGTCTTTACGGTCAACAATTTTGCGCAGGTGCCAGTTCGGTCAATCGCACCATCCGGTTCCGGAGGTGGGCGGGGGGGCTTCTCCACCGTTATTCTATCTAACAGAACTCGCAATGGATATGGTAGAGAAAATCCCTAATGCGGCTAAATGAAACACTTCCCAGCAGACTTGGGGCAAGGAGCTCTATCTCTTAATCCGTGTGAGGATTTCGCTGCCTTTTTAACGAGGTTAATAGCCTGGGCCAGCCTCAGGTTTTAGCCAAAAGTGAACTCAGCACGGCTGGGGAGCTTTTGCAGTGACTTGACTAGCAGAAAAGCACTTCCCGATTTCCGCCCTTGAACAATCCCTGATCTCGGAATATCTTGGGGAACCAAGAAGCGGCGAATACAGACGAACGGATCCAGGTGCGCATTTAAGAATTTCGAAGATCTTGGCTTTGGAAGGCTGTGGAGGCATATACAAAATTTTGCACAACTTTTGTCATACATATTATCACCACGAGTACGGAACAGTACCCCCCCCCACGGAAAAGCCCTCCGATGCCCACAAATACAACTCCCCCGACAAAATTTTTAACATCTATAAGCACGAAAGATAATCGGATAAAAATACCATTCTGGATCACCATAATGTGATGTCAACTCCGGTACGCCTACAGAAAGCGAGCCGTTGTGTTCAAGATGGGAGGGTGCTGACAAAGCCTTCATCGTATCTAGCTTATGTAAGAGGGGGCTCTGATTGATCTAGAGGTTGTACTTAATCCTGAAGAGCATAAGTTACATGCGACAGATAGGAAACAAACGGGACATCATCGGAGATGTGCAAACTATATGTCCAAAGCCCAAGCCGGTTGATAGAAGTCCGCGATGCATGACTGCAAGGTGTGGCAGACTGCTCACCTTACTGCGACCGACGACTACGGCACCTCTAGGCAAAAAGCCCCAAATCTAGTCCCATAGCCGACGGCGCAATCGGAGCTCTCAAAGTTTGAATGGAATCCGTCCTACCGTAAGAACTCGAATAACTGTTACTCGCGCTAGGACGTCCAAAATTCCCTCCCTCGAGTAGGGGGGCAAAACACTGCGAAAACTCACCCCCGCTTAAGCCAAAAATGTGCCCGACCAATGCGGTAGGGGCAAGTCCAAGGTCCTAGCAAGAGTACCGTACCAATTATTCGAGTTCTTGCTGTAGTGCAGGGCCAGGATATGCCGGATTCCTTCCCGCAGCGGCCTACCGTACGGTCAATCCAAAATGGACCAATTGTCAAGGTTTTTTGTTCCAGTGTGCCGAAGCCCGAAGCTGCGCTTGAGTGTTGTAACACAACCGCAACTCACTTGTTGGGTGGGAGTGTCTCACCATACTCTACTTTTACCGGCAACAAAGTTTACCGGTCTGAGCCCTGCCGTGCGACCTTTCCCACGTGCAACCCCCCTTCGATTTGCCCTCGGATGTGGGTGCCATGTGTTTTGCTGAAAATCAAACCGGGGGATGCGACCCTCGCTAACAAAAGCGATTGGGTAGGCAGGTTGAGGTGGGGATTTGGGCGATCACCAACACATACCCCATCTCACACACCCGAAGCCGCCGAAAATCTAACCAAGGCTTACGGAGTAAGCCTCTGTTTATTAGGGCTTCGATCTTTGTGTTCCTGTCTAAGGTTTCAGATGTTCTCTCACTTCATTTTTTTTCCCGGGGGTTACCCGGTGTGGGCACCCGGATGGCCTATCATAGCACAGCACGACCCAGCAACAAAAGAAACGTTATCTCCACCTGGGTTTTCCATACAAAATTACCGTTTCCAATCAGCCGCCAGAAGCAACCACGACGAATCCTGTCCCCCAAACTCTGATCATATGATAGACATCCACAAGGAGCTTAACATTGTGGGTTATTCAATTTTTTTGTTCACGGTCTTATGTGCCGGTGCATGGGCATGGGACCGGACTAATCTGTTGCTATGCAAGATCCCGTGCAAATTTGCCGTCTTGATGTGAGTTATAATCGCCAATTTCAGAAACTACTTTCAGTTTTTGCACCGGTAGAACCATCCCCGCAGCCCGAAATTCAACAGTATGAATCTTTGGGTTAAACTCTCTTCCAAAAAAAATAATACCGAATTTTTCTAATTCCTAGCTGCTAGATAGGCTCGTATCGGAGTTGGTGCTTTGCATGGAAAATAGGGAGTAGGTACGTTGCTTTTGTTGCCGGATAGTACTGTACGAGTACTTGTGAGGTCGGGTTGAAGCGGTGCACACAAACCTGGTAACGATCGCCCGGCGAATCGGAATTAGGGTCAAAATAGAAAACTGAAGCCGACATGATAATACATTCTTGCATCAACTCACACTAGACAAGTGAGGTTTTCTACGGTACAATACCTCATCGTTTAAGTAGATATATGGGCAGTCTCATTGATCGCTCATATCCTCGAACTATTGAGATTATTGCTCCTCTGATGACGAACAGCTGGTTAGAGCCTCGCATGAAAGGATAAAAATTGTTGGCTAGGAGTCTATGCGGAGGTCTCCTCCAGATATTTCCAAAAACCGTTGCCCTTAAGTTTTTTCGCTAGTTTAAGGTTAGGGTTGCCCTCTGTTTCAGCAAGGGGGCACTCGGAACACTCAAATTAGGAAATGTGTGGATAGCATATTAAAGGATAGGGGGATAGTTGTTATGGCGAGAACCGAGTTCCTTGAGTGGTGGTTTCCTTATGCAGCGGGCCATCGCGCAACTCCTTTGTCCTGCTGGATTCGGTGGTCTACGCACAAGGTCATCTAACTCCATATTTGCCGGGCGACTGCTCCCATCTTTGGGTGCACTAGTACTGTACTCGAGTACCCGCTTTTTGATGCTCTATGGCGTGATCTGTGCTGGCGTTCGGTTTACACCCCCGGCGCGATGGTGGGGCAGGGATAGATGGGAGGGGGGGTTAAGGATTAAACTCGGAATACAGGGTGTGGGGTAAAATGGTAGAGTTGGCGAGGGAGAAACGAGGAGGGTACCAGATTGGCTTCGATTGGAGCACACCGTGGAGATGGAACACTGCTTGAACCATGGCCCGTCGGTAGGGGTGGAGAAGGAGAGGAAATATGTAGGACAATAGCCGGGTTGCCTCGCTACAATATCTTGTCATCTGCAATGTTTTCCCCCTCATTCCCCCTTTCAACGTTCGCCCTCTCTTCCCTCCGGGATTGAAGTCTACTACCCTTCTCATAATCCTATAAATTAATCAATTACTGTGGCAGTCAATCAGGCACTACCATTCTCGACCCACCAAAAGTAATATCGGCTAATCATGCAGCAGGTGTCCCTCTACTGTTTTTTTTTAGGTATAAAGGCGTGGAAATGATACCAGTAGGAGTCCCAACAAAGGACGAAATATTCGTACACTCGTTCACCTCTTCCACTATATACTTCTTATTACGGCATATCATGACAAATCTAACACAAAATACTGCTCTCGCGGAGGAAAGATCCGGCTCAGCACCAGACACCAAGCCCTTAAAGGACCTAGAATCACAATTCGACTCTAGTACCCAAGAACTCGAATCCCCACAAGAGGAAGACCTAGGTTACGGCGACAACTCCAATGTCCCACATCTTGGATATCTGAGGCTTTTTTGGTTCTTCTTCTACAACTTTGGTCTTTTTGCCTGGGGAGGTCCAGTCGCACAGATTGCTCTGATAAAAGAGCGATTGGTAATAGAGGACAAATGGATAACACTCGCACGGTTTCAGCGGGTTTTTGCCGTCTACCAGATCCTCCCTGGCCCTGAAGCGACGGAATTGTGTATGTTCTTTGGATGTCTGTCTGCCGGGAGAATCGGCGGTTTAGTGTCTGGACTTGGCTTTGTCCTGCCAGGGTTCTTGTTGATGTTGCTGGCGAGTTATCTCTACTCACTAGCGGGTTTCGATAACGTATACTTCAATGCATCTTTTCGGGGTGTCCAGCCATTAGTTGCGGCAATGGTATGCCCCTCCCCCTCCCCCTCCATCTCCGCATCTCAAGTTAACAACGTAGAGATCCTCCGGGCAGCCCACAAAATCGCCGACCATTGTGTCATCGATCCTACTACGAAAAGGGTCAAGCCATACTTGATCATCGCGGGCCTATGCACCGCCCTCAATACCGCCTTGCGGATAAACATCTTTATCTCCCTTGCATTCTATGGCCTCCTCTACGCCCTCATATCCCAACCACGTATGCTCCTCCCCTCCGCCCTCATCTTCATCCTCCAATACGTCGCGTATACCGTCTATGTCGTCTTCCGCGGAGTACCTTCTCCCGTATCACTCGCCTTGGGAATTGCGCAAACTCCCTCGTTGATAAACCTCTTCGTCCTCGGTCTCGTGGCCGGAAATCTATCATTTGGTGGGGCGTATACCACTATTCCATTTATCCATGTGGAAGCAGTGCTCAAGGGTGGCTGGCTATCACAAAGCGTATTTATAGACTGCATCGCTATAGGAAACATTCTCCCCGCACCATTGGTTCTCTTTTCAACATTCGTCGGATTTCAGGGTGGCCTTGCAGATGGAAAGGGCGTTGGAGGGGCATTTGCCGGCGCTATAGTCATCACCCTGGGAATACTGTTCCCATGCCTTCTCTTCACTGTTGCAGGACATGAGCTGTTGGAAAAATTGGTGCGGAATAGGTTTCTCGCCAAGTTTTTCGATGGGCTCTCTGCCGCCGTAGTGGGTGTGATTGCGGTTATCGCGGTGGAGATATTGCGGTCTTCGGTTAGCGGACGGAGTGAGGAGGGTATGGGAGGTGGCGAAGCTTCCGGTGAGGGGGACGTGAAGATAGTGGTGAAGCGAACAGCCATGGCTGCAATGGCAGCGGTGCTATACATCGTCGGGTTAGCAGTCTTGTATAGGTTTGGGAACAAGTGGGCCCCTTTGCTATTATTGGCCGGTGGGGCTATTGCAGGACAGTTTCTATTTGTTTAAGCGGGGGTACTGGGAACAGTGTGGATGGCCATATCGGTGAGAATATTGGGATGGAGGTGTCTCATAGACCTCATAGTTAGAGGAATCATTCAGCGTGGAGCGGTACCCTACCAACAGCGCATGGGATAGAATAACTTTATGGAGCCTTTACTCAAAATTCTGAAATATTATTACAGTAAACATGAATATACAAAAAAGGGGTAGAAAAGCGCTGGGTGTGATATGCTGGCTTAGCTTTGTGATGACCAAACTAAACCCATCCGACCTATCCCTTTTTTCCCTCATTTTGACTCCTCATGATCTCCCTTCGACTACCGATACTTGCTCTACGCGAGGTTCATGGGGTGTCGCTCGTAGTCCGGTTAACGTAAACTGGAGACCGGAATAATATGACCGTTACTGCTAAAAGAACCTTAATTGTTTCTAATGGAATCCTAGGCCAAGCGCAACCATGTCCGCATCACTCCCAAACCCCACCCAACACTGCTGCTACTCCATGGGCCGCAATACCAGCCCCTCTGTCTATTCTTCTTGGAGAGGTGAATAGAGATAAATGTTTATTGTTTCCCTGGAGAGATATCCGAGCATAGTTACCTAAAAGGCATCCGTCCGGGGGCTGTTAGCAGGGATTGTTCCAGGGGTACAAGGAAGGGCGCGAGAACCTCACGGAAGAGTCCATAACAGAGAGAACTCGTCGTTTGAGAAAGGTTGGTTTCAGCGTCCTCCGCTCCGGGGCAGGGGTAGGGGTGTGCCTGCTAGAATTTTCTCCGAATAGATTTTATGTGTGTAATCCCAAGGAACATGCCCACCGTTTCTCTCCGACTACCACAAGAGGCTGAATTATATCCGCGGGGGTACTGACACCTGAATATAGTATTACCCCACTTTCTGCCGACTCTAAACCTCATTTCTTCTCTACCGCATTGCGTTTGGAACAATGTGAATGCGTCAACCCATCCTCACTCCATCGTTAGCGGTATTGGCTACAGAGGAGTTTCACGCGAGAAGCGAGTGCAGCATCACATATGTGGACGAAAATCCTTGGATCTTAGCCCAACAATCGCCACGCGAACCACCGGATGTGCGTACACGCCATCTAAATGGTATAGGGGGTTTGTTATTGAGGACGGGGGAAGCTATCAAGTGGAGTGATGTCCAGCATGGGAAAATGGGCTGCTCTCTTTTGCCCCTGCCATGTGGGGTCTCGGGAGACTACCGCACCTGGGGGAACGTAGTAGGTACCCATGCATAATGTACGGGTATGAGCTCTTGCTAACTAATAATATTAGTTCGAGAGTGCCTAGTGAATATTGCAATCAAGGCGTGGATGAGAAAACCGGGGTCGCATCTCTTGACTGCAACACTTAGAAGCAAAAGATGCAAACACCTGCGAAAGTGTTAGGTGCCCTCATCAATCAGGCTATGCGCGGGTGGGGATCGGCCCCTGCCGGAACCGAGGAGGCATTTCGGAAGGTAAAGGGTCAAGTGAGGGGCGGGGGTGTCCGGACTCCTCTTGCTTCCGAGCTCCCAGAGGGCATCTTTCTCCGCCCGAGCGGGCCTTTACCTCCACCTATTTTCCGGACAAACTTCCCGAGAATTTTCTACTCAAAAATTTACGCTCATTCCATGCAACCTCCCGGTCATCGGCGGGCATTCGTTCTTTTACAGGGTTGGGGTCGAGACCAAGAAAATATTTTCCAGCGAATGCACGGTTCTTCTGATAAAGCCAACGAGTGAAGTCGCTGTGAGATGTGTTGGGGTGGTGATGTGTGGCGATTCTGGCCCTGATGCGGTGAAACTTGTTCCTCGGGCAGAAATCATGAAATGGGCTTCGGAAATGGGTCCGGATACGTACGCAGTACTATTTTCAGTTCGCGTGTTGAAAGTGTTTGCTGTGCAGTATGGTTTCCTGGGACACCGCAGAAATAGTCTACTAAAGACGCGAGTAACTTAAGGAGATGGCTAATGGCGACGCCTATCATGCGATACTGGGTAGGGCGCGTGCTGGCAGCGGGGGCAGGTCAAGACCCAGGATGGCGACTTTAATGCGGATTTCACACTCTGAGCGGCCGGTGATGGTATGATAGACGAGCTGTCCAATGTCCGTCGCTTATAAATATGGCCTAACAACCCTAACCCTACAACACCCCTCATCACAAGCGCTACTTGCAGCCCGGCTTGGTCTTACAGTGGGTAAGGAGGGATCTGCTGTCTGTTTAGTGCACTCCGCACTTCAAGAATAACTTACTGGCTGCTCCGGGGTCTTCTACATCACTGCGTGACAATGACCGAGGCTTCTTTGACATATCTTAACATTGGTTGCATCGGGAAACTTCTGTCCACTTTGCACTCCGCCCAACAACGTTACCCCTACCTTGAATATGCTCTATGTTATTCGGGACTCTGCGGGGAGGGAAGCGCTACGAAGGGCGTGAAATCGTTGCAATTCAGCTCCTCGACGAGTTTGGGTCATATCAACTAAACTTTTACACTAGCTTGTCTGCTAACAAAGGATGCCCGGCATTGGGGGGGCAATGGGAGCTGGTGGGTTACGGGCTGCGCTTTGTGGCATATCTGAGCGCTGTTGAAATTTCTGACGCTTTACCGGCCGTGAGGCATCAGTGATATGGATTTCCAAGAGTGGGTTCAAGGGCGTTATACGACTACTCTTGTAAAAGGTGGCGGCCAACTTCAACACGAACGGCAATAAAATGGCCTTACACCGCTCTCCTGGACTGCGTGGTCAGGCAGGAGGGAGCCGCGGAGCTGCTTGTTGAACGGGAAGGGGTTAGTCCCGATTCACCGGACAATGATGGCCCAGCACCGCTCTTCGGAGGGAGACGGGGGGTAATGATTCTGTTTCTCGAACACTAGATGGGGCCTGCTATAAAAGGTGGGAAAAATAGCGGGCCCAAACGTAGCGTTCGAGGTTAATAATAATTCCAATATCCCACGATAGCCTTGTCGAGTTACTTCGAGGGAATTTTGATTTTCCGCACCTACCCGTATCGGATTCCGGGTCTCCCTGCCCCCTCCCCCAACTAACAAGCGAGGTCGAAAGACTACACCCCTAGCCTAATACCCTCTAGGACCACTAGTTGCTAGTATAGAAAAGTCCTAACAAATCATTTAGCCCCTCAATAGCTACTCTACTAGTAATCAATCCCAACCAAGCTCTCGAACCACCCCCCATGAGGCTTAACACCACACCTTACCCCTTGCACACCTTACTCCCGCAGTCATCACTGGTGCCATGTCTCTCTTTACAGTTAGAATATCCTCAGCCGCCCAGGTCAGTTTCTACTTATTTCGTGTCTTCCTGTGTAACTTGGCCTTTGGTTTGTAGCCCCGGAGAGGTACTGATATGGGCAAGATTTGAGCTCCTTCTGCATACCCTTCCTAGCACATTCATCATTCCCCGAAAGGGTTTCTTCTACCTCTTTTAAAAGTAATTCTTCAAAGTACTTTATCAGCTTGCTCCCACTTCCAGAGACGTGATTGCATGCTAGCCAGAGAAGTTTGAAGTTTCTCAAGCGCCCAGAACGGCGGATACGTATCCGAGCGCAATCTGCCTAAGTCCCTGTGCGCCGTTAATCCTTGCCGCGGGATCACCAATTTTACCGTTAGTCAATCACCCCCATTTTTTTTTCCCCCTCATCTCCGGCGAGTCCTGGAAACGGCGAGCGCCGGCTGTACGGGGGAATCCAATTTCGTGCTTTGGTTTACGGATGGTGCCCGGTGGTTTGTAGTACACTCGGACAAAGCTGTATCCAGAGGGCGTGAGAGTATACATGTCCGGATTTCTACTAGCTGGTGTGTGCAGTCTCGAGAGACTTCGAGGGGTTCACAGAAGGCCTAGTACCGGCATCGTGCGCCCAGTGAGTTCCAGCGGCGGAGGGGCAGCCACCACTAAAACCTGACTTGGCCCGCCCCCCAGAACATGGCAGGAGTCATGACCGATCATGATGCTGGGAAGGTTAGGGTTATTGCACGGGTTAGGGTTAAAGTTATTAACTGGGATCATAATATTATTATCCCTTCCTCTGTTCCCGAGTTTCACGCACTTTTAGTGATTTTAGTGAATGCGGAAAGCGCTCCTCTAATGCCTGTTTAGGAGAGATGGTTGCAACCATTATCTTCTGGACTACTGAAATTCGGGAATTATCACCACCCCTCTTGTCGGCTTCGGCTAAGACGGCGCATGCTTTGGGCTACCGCCGTAGTTCTCATTTGTTCTCAGCGTACCTGTAGTAATGGGTATCCTGAAGTGTGCACACCTGCGAATTTCTAGTAACCAACAACAGCACCGCTTACTAATGACGATAGTGGTGGCAAGAAATTTTTAGGGCCTGTTTGGCAACGACCGTTCCGTTCCGTTCACCCATACAAAATGGCCGTTTGCGAACGGAACCATAAGGCAATTTGTATGGGCGAACGGAACGGAACGGTCGTTGCCAAACAGGCCCTTAAAGTTCCCGTAGTGGGGAAGTTAGCGTTGTGCTTGAAAACAGACGAAGGGATACTTGGAACAACAATTACCGTTGGATGCGCACGATTGATAGTCAATTTTATTCAACCATTTACCTAGTATTCACTTATTTCATTATTTTTGCCTCCATAAGCTTAGGGGTTGTTTGGCGTACCATGACTTGCTTTCAAAATCAGGTATTGGCAATTTTAACTCAAATTATAACTGGTAAAACAGGGTAGGGTTAGGTATAACATATGTAATAATTTGCGTTAAAATTGCCAAGACCTAACTTCTAAATCCAAATCACTGTACGCCAAACCTAAGAGAGACACTGTAGTCTTGTGTCCCCAATGCCGCAGTCGGATGCCAAGACATACCCGTCCTTCACACCATCCTTGCGGCCCCCGTCACTAGTCGTGGTCCGATTCATGACTGGGGCACTTGGCACTGACAGGTCCTGCCAACTCCGCATGTAGATAAGTTTAAATTGTCGCGAGTATGGTTCAACTTTCTTGAAACCTAGTCC